ACATAAATCAGACTTCTTTCAGTGACAAGTTAAACTTAATAAGCTCATGGAAAAGTGGAAAGCTTGCAAAACGAATATATTTCATGTACACCCTATTTTTCTGACATTAACTTCTGCCCTCCACCATTTTCAATAACTGCACGGGTTTTCGCTATAAATTAGCTGAACACGTGGCGATGTTGGCAAGTGTTGATAATGTTGCTGATTGATTTGCGAATTTCCAGTTTATTACATTACTCCTCCTTGTAAATACCTACCCATCACGTTTATAGAGGGAATGAATGGAGGAAGGTCTTTAATTTGCCGGATTATGCACGGCACTTATCATCTTACAAAACTAATATAACTTGAGAAGCGCTTTAAAGTAAATTTCACAATGAGCTAACTTGAAAGTTTTAAAGGGAGCAGTCAGATTTAATACTCGTTAAGCATAAAGGGGATGAGAGCCAAGAGGTGCACCTACGGAACTTTGTAGATTTTAATATGCGGGCATCAAACAATGAGAAAATGTAATAGGAGTAATTATTTCAAGCTTCACAAATGCTACGATTACGACCGAATGAAACAATTCGGAAAATGCAGTATGGTTTGTGAACATAATTTTGCTACAATAAAAGGAAATTACAATTTTCATTCAAGATGTTTACCTTTCGGAACGGCCTTGTTTAGGTACATTATTTGTCTTCGTATATTTTTTCAGAAAATGTAGTAGGATGGAAATAAACAGGTTCACTTTTTTAGTAGGTACGCTGTGTGATTGGAATTTGGAAATCTGTTATAGAGGGAAACTAAGAACGGACGTTCAAGAATTGTTCTCGTCAGACCGCCTGTGTTGGTGGTTGTCACAAAAAATGTAACATTTGAAAGATTATTACAAGACAGCTTGCAATCTTCTGCTATTTGACTTACTGCATACTTGTATAGTGTAAATTATATACTCGTACTAGTTTCCCACCAGTATCTCCAGATGTTACAACCTCTTTTCATGGGAAACTATTATAAAAAAATAAGTCTCCACAATATCCCGAGAGGTATGGCTCACTACCGAGAGTAGCTCTAGGGCCTTCATGGATTACAAGGAAGGAAAAAGACCTACTGAAAACTTTCCACAAGATATGCGCACTTACTTTCTTAGTTCTTTTCCAATTTGCATTTTACAATTACATTATAATAGATTTCAATCTGTACGACAACATCGGAGAATTTTATTTCCCTCGCAATTATGATTTTACATTAATATTTAAAATATTTATTAAGGCTGTCATGTAACGGAGCCCTACATTCAACCAAGGTCTCATGGGCGAAGAATATATATTTTGTGATTTATGGTTTCTGCATATACATAAATATTTAGAAGGCATAGGAAACATTTGACACACATGTACAATAAGATAGTGGCAAAATATCATTGTAAACAAATTCAACAAATATCGCTCTTATATGAAACAAACAAGAACCTCCTACCCATCGCACAAGCCAATGACAAAAATCACAAAAGTGTTAAATTTTTATAGACGCTGCAATTTAGAAAATTTGGTTGAAACTTTACTTATATATACCACATGTAAGAAGCCAATTGAAAATGGGTCATATCCAATACCCCGTAGGGTCACACCGAGGTGCTCTGTCGCTTTTTTAGAGCTCTTTACAGGTTTATTTTTCTTTTAATCACTTCACTTGATACAAACGCACTATACATAAAACCTTCGAAATGCTACAATTAAATTGCCACTTACCTTGAACAAAGAGCACGCTTAAAATACTGTTTAAATCCCCTTTTAAAAAGCTTTCTTATGTGCAACCCCACACAACAGTAATCCTCTGAAACCAACCCACATTTTCCCTGTGTTCGCGCTAAATTCGATTTCCAGTCCCCTGTGTTATCCACTTCTATCATTTAAATCGCAATTTACGAAAAAAAATTATAATCACCTATAATTTATAAGAGAAAAAATTCACACGCTTACTCGAGTAACTACTTCAACAATTTACCGAGGTGACTTACACCGTGTATGGTGAAACAGGGTACTCTCTCACTCAGTCAACACTTTACAAACGAATCACGCAAACAGTATCTTTTAAACAAGTACCTACTCTTTCGCGATTGCTAGCAAAAATGTGTTAAAAAGAAGTCGAATTAATTTTCAACAGCTACACGAAGAAGTAATTTGCTTGATTCTTTTTTATTTTAGTTTGCCCGTTTCTCAGTTGCATGGTACTGATAGGAGATCAATAGCTTAGGTAACCTTTAGCTATCTACATTAATTGTGTCCTTTTTCGGATGCGAGATTTAAAAGGTGATCATTTAATTCCTCTACTGTATTTTAAGTACCTGATGTTTTACAGTATGATATGAAATCATAGGTAATAGTATATTGTTTCAGTACGAGTTAAAGTGTCACAGAGAACCTACCTCACTTTTTCTGATACAAATGTGGCAAAATCATTAAATGTTCTATTCACTTTTCTATACAACGAAGTAGCCTAATAAAACCATTAACGAGATTGCTCGATGGCATTCCAATAAAATATCAAACGAAGTATAGAAGTCATGCAGACAAAACAGCATATAGAGTAGACAAGACAATCTTGTTTTTCATAATTCTAAATATCGTCAAGTGAGTTGTTATAAAATTTAATACATATTTCATGAGACTAATGTGCAGGCTACATACAAATAAAGATCGTTGTCGAGTAATCTTTTGCAATTCTTCGAATAAATTAATATTGAAACGAAACGTTTCAAGTGGGAACTAAAGTTAATTATTTATTTTATAGCAGAAATTTTACTACGTTTGAGTAGGCTTAATTTCTCTTTACAGTAAGAGTAGATAAAGGAGTGGTCACTTTAACGGCAATCTGTGGTTATTATTAAAAATGGGACGCGGAGCATAAAAGTTCAAAACAGAAAACAGTATTGTTTCCATATAAACAATGCAGTTGAACATCTATGAACCTATTGAAATTGAATTAGATATAAACGAAGTCAGCTTTGTTTTCAAGAGTTTATTCAAAGTGTAGTAAAGATAATTTCCAAATTCATGGGTTCATTCTAATCATTTTTAAGGTAAATTGTAAAATAATGCACATTTTTCTTATATGCCGAGTGACCAAGATAAGGATGCCTATCATGGGGATCTCGGATGCTATAGAAGATACGAAGATGGTCAAATTACGAAAAAGAATTATATAATAAGAACCTCAACCTCAATTAAAGCAAAAAAATTACGATTACTTCCAAAGATATCTCAGAATAACCGAAACATTCCGATTTCGTTTCTATTTTGTCTGATGTTATTTGAACAGATACAAAAAAAAAACACTTTCTCGTTGCCACTATTTGAGTAATTCTCAATACAACGTTTTGTTTCGGAGAAATTACCATCAACTTTATTTTTATATGCCCGCAAAAACAGTACTTTTTTATTCCAATACAACAGACTGTTGGTTTCAACAGGATGGTGCACCCGCGCATAACGCCCTAATCGTGCGAGGATACCTATCGGACAAATTTCCTGGAAAATGGAAGCCCTTAACAGATTAATTTGTGCTCAGAGACGAATTTTTTAACCTGGAGGAATACGATTATCCGAATCTTAATTAAATTGAGTAGTGTTGAAATCATTATAGATATTTTACGTCTACGGGCTTCTTCACATTTTATTTTACGGTTTTTATTGCCTAATAAGACGAGGAAACGCATTTGATTTATGGTCATTGCGTGAATGTACGTAGTTGAAATTCAATTTCTTTTTATTTGAGTGGTGAAATATTATGATGTCACGGATTTATTGTATCCACCATTAAAAGTGGAAGTTATACTGGATGGATTGCATTATGTATCTTTTTTATGACCATTGGTTAATTGGGACCTTCGCTACTACCTAGTTCTGTTTCTAAATGTAACCAATTTGTTAGCGTACAGGTGGAACCTTGATTGAAAAACGTTCCTCTTCGCTTATTTCAATTCAAGGTATCTATAAAACTGTTCTGCTTCACTTCATTTTCTAATACTTTAAGAGTGCGACCCAAAAAGCAATTATTCTCAGGAAACTTTAAATTTAAAGGAGTATCACATAATTACTTAATAATAATTGAATATGAATTTAAGTCGATTTATTATTCTTGTGGTTTTATTTGTTTTTTGGTAACAATTACCTACCTATAGTCTATACTAATCTTAAGTTTCAGTTTAATTACATTTCTATTTGAATGGTCTAGCAACTAGTAAATACTGATATAATTACAACTTTATCTTGTAGTATCGGGTTTACTGTAATCTTTTACTTGAAGGAAGTTGAAATTTTTCGTTTTATGATTCCCCTTCTTCGTGCCTTCCAGGATCAATAGCTTATACTCCAACTCAGATTTAGTTCTTATTGACTTGACTTATTAAGTATTATTAACTGCAAGATTAAATATATTTGCAGCTACATGAGCTACCAATTAATCCTATGACTACTGTAATCGATAGCTGATTCTCCAGACGAATTGGAGCGAAATCACTAGAGCATAATTTGAATATCCATGGGGAATACAAGAAAAGAAAAAATCTTGAAATCTTTTGACAAGTAAATTTAATGTCAAATAAAAGGCTAAGGCGAATTGTCAGATGAAAGCTTTTGAGGAAGGGCATTTTGTTATTGTGGAAGTGATATTTTGTTAAATGCTGCGTATCAAGGAAAAAACGAGGCTTGCTGGTTCGTGACAACGGTTGGAAAAGCATGTACGTTTCTTTACGTTATTTTTATTAGGGCCGTAGTTTGTCATTATAATTTTGTGCAGAAGCAATTGTGGGAAAAGTTAAAAGTGTCAGTTACTTTGGTGTTCAATCTGATGTTATATAATACCCAAAATAGCGTTGTGTCAAAGTTGATAAGATTGTTGCGGTCTAATTGCAAAATATATTACGTTAGAAAGTGAAATCCTATCGGTGACCTCCTCGTACAAAAATAAATTCTGAGGAGAGGGAGGGGAGGCGGCGCAAGCTATGATTACCAATGATTTTATTGAATTGAAGCGTTGCGTTTATTTTGCGTAGACACATACAGCATAACTTATGCTACCGTGAGTATTGGACCGCGTCTTTAGGTTACAATACTTAACTTAAGTAAATCTTTATTGAATTATTTGGGACTTAATCCTCAACGAATGCATTTAGGAGGCAATTAGCCAAGGCACGCGACTTATCCTCGCGCAAAACCTCACTTTTAGTTAAGGGAATGCATTCATCTACTAACGCCTCCGTCATATACGGAGCCAATGTTATCAGCTTTTCCCTGATGATTTCGCCGTCGTCTCGGAAGAGATTCATGGAGACGTAGAGACAATCGAAATACCGTTTAACGTTCTCTTGATCGGGGACAAACCCCTGCAACGTAATTTCCTTAGCGTACCAGGCGGAGATGTTCGCCTTCACCAAGCAGTTTGGGTTGTAGGGTTTAATCAGCTTGTACCAAATCTCGTACGTTTTTTGCGGCACCTGCAACGCACGTGTGTGAAATCATTTGGAAGACGCGAAGAAACTTACCCTTCGCGACTGAACTGCCCCAACCAGCAAAATAGCCACAAAGAGTGCGTGTGTGTTCATCTCTTGGCGACTGATAGGTGCTTAATATACCGGTGTCTCAAAGTACATAAGACTATTTCTGTCCAACTTTAAAAACATTCACGTTAAGAAATGTAACGCAATCGGCAACCTTCTCAGAAAAAATAAATTACTATTTCGAAATCCGCGTTACAATGGTTCACGAGTAGGTTATAATAAGTAAAATTCTCACGTACTAATCTCCTGATTAAAATTGTTCGTACAGGGTGGTTTATCGGGACAACATCGTGCGTTCGTAGATGAAGAGTTTATTCAAAATGGCGGATTCGTGATCACAACACAGCGTGCGTTTCGTACACATTTTGCTATTGGTCGTCAGGATCCCGTTCCCACTGGACCAGTATCGAACTTTAGAGCGACATCATCACAAAACACAAAAGGAAAACCAGAAGGCTGAATTAGGACCTCAACGTTAGCGGCAAACATTCAACAATCCCCTCGACGTTTTGTTCGGAACATGCACTTGGGTTATCTGCCAGCAGTATCCGCAGAATACTGAATATAGATCTTAAATTGTACCCATGCAAGATGCAGATATCGAAGGTCCCACAAGCCAGCAGAGCCATTTTAGAAAAATGAAGGACGAAATACATCAGAATTATAGGCTGATTATAGGCCCTTTTTGGACACTTGAACAAATTTTCAGGCGGCATCCTTTAAACAAAAAAACTATGATTTTGCTGGCTAAAGAAGAAGCTAGCTGATCACATGTGCGATACGCTATGCGCATGCGCAAAATTTTTGCCTTGTAATTAATATCGATCCATTAACAGTGACTGTACTTTCTATGGTTACAATATTATTGCCACAACTGTTTGTGACTTGATCACCTTGGATTCCAAGTTAATTTCCGCCAACCCGATTTATTTGGTTAAAATATGGCGGATATCCTACCTACCAATAAAAAAACAACACCAAAGTATGACCAAACTGCCTCTATACAGTAGGTATACAGTCACTGTAGATCCAACACCAAAGTATGACCAAACTGCCTCTATACAGTAGGTATACGGTCACTGTAGATCCATTATAAGTCACTAAGGCCGGTATTTCCATCCTCGGATAAAGTACCAGATTCGTACCTGCCAAATAACTTATACCGCCCGATATCTTCCGTTTATCTATCTGCGGGTATTTCCATCAGCGTGCGGTATAAATATATCCCGTAGATAGCTACCTAACCATAGCCAATGTTGCCGATTTTAGAAGTCTGTAATAGAAAAAGATAGCGAACGGCAGGGCCATATATTAGAGAAAGATAGCTTATACTTCCGGAAAATTTGAACGAATGCTTTTGTTTTTGAAAGAAATTCAGTGACTTGTCAAACGTTAATTAAAGGAAGCTGAATATGTACCAAAATCGTGAAGTAAATGCACCGCGTAGAAAAAAAAGAACTGCCAATTTCAGTACATCTGAAAATCGTGTGCTTATGGATTTGGTTATTGAGTACAGGGATGTCCTGGAAAATAAACGCAGTGATGGTGTTACTTGGGCAGAAAAAAATAATTGCTGGGAGAATATTGCCCAACAATTTAATGCAAAATCGGGAATTAATAATCGTACAGCTGAAGGTATATTTAGATACTTATTTTCAATAACATAGTTCAATTCCGTATACAAAATTATGTATCTAACCCACATCTTATTATGGTTTGTTGTAGTATTACGATCGAAATACGAGACACTGAAGAAAGACCTAAGAAAAAAATCAGCTAACATAAAAAACAAATGTTTTTGACTGGTGGAGGTGTAACAAATACACCAGATTACACGGATTTTGAAAAGAAATTGTTAGAAATCATCTTAATATCCGTTGAAGGACTTCCATCTGTAGGAGATAGCGATCCTAAAGTGGATTATGCAGCAGGTAACTTGTCTATTTTTGTTTGTGACCCAATAAAAATTAGCATCATCTCCGTAGCTGGAATTGATAATGACAATCCAATACATCCACCACTGCAAGTAGCCGAACCACCCTATCTAATTGAATTAATAGATACAGATGTAAATGTATTTGATTTTGATGCACCCAACAACACAATAGAGCAACCTCATGTGCAGGAGAATGTGGAACTCACACAAACAGATTCTTCAGTTGCCGTAACTGTTCAGGTAAATCTACCATTGGTGTGTGTGAAAATAAGTAAAGATATGCATTATTACAGACTAATGAACAAATGCGGCCGAAGTGGAAGCCCGACACTTTAAAAACGAAGAAAAGTGCCCCACTTCATATGAAGAAAAGAGCAACCCCAACAGCTCACGAAAAATTTTCAAAACTGGCAGATGCCAAAAATGAATTGGTACAATTGCAGCACGACCTGCAAAAAACGGATGCTGTATTTAAGGAAAATGAAAATAATTTAAAATTGCAGTTGTTACAAGCAGAAATTAACCTTGCTGTACAACGTCAACAAAATGAAAAAAAAATATTCGAAAAACAACTCAGTTTATTAAACGCTCAAATAGCAGAGCAGGAGTTAAAAACTGAAATCTTGCGCTACAACGCCAAAAAATAATTGTAAAATAGTAATAATAATTATGTAATACTTATTTTATTGTAACGATTTATTAAGTTACAAGTATAATAATTCCATTCTTTTGTTTGTAACATAGTTTCTTACGTTAAAAATATACTTTATAATAAAGTGCCGAAATAATCGATTAAATCTCTTCTAACTTGCTCATTATTTACATCATTCCTTTCTACTGGATTTACATCACCAAGTACAACATCTTGTTCATCAATGGGCCCCTCTTCGGAAAATTCAATGTCATTGTTTAACACAGCTATGTTGTGCAAGACAGCTGTTGCTACAATTGTCTGTTGAACAAGATGAAGCTTACACCGCATACCAACAGACAAGACGGGAAATCTTCGTTTCCACACTCCGAATGTTCTCTCTATTACATTCCTGGTTCTTATTTGAGCTTCGTTAAACAATCTTTCGGCTTCAGTTTGTGGATCAGCCAATGGTGTGATTAAGTACTGTCGCAACGGATAACCACCATCACCTAATATAATACCATGATCAAATTCATTATTTTCTAGGCGCATATGCAAAGATGAATTGTTGAACACAGTACTATCATGTGAAGCACCCGGCCAACGAGCAACAATGTCGGTAATGATTTGTGAAGCGTTACATACGGCTTGTACATTTATAGAAAAATAGCCTTTGCGGCATCTAAAATTCTCCGCACTGTCTCCTCCAGGAGATTGTATTTTGACATGCGTGCAGTCAAGAGCTCCGATTATTCGAGGAAAGCGTGCTATTTCATAAAACTTTTGCTGCGTTTGCCTTATTTCGTTGTCATTCCGTGGTAAGTATATATACCGCTCTCTTATAGCGATGAGGGAAGTACATACTCGTTCTATAATCTTTCCAACAGTAGTTTTATGTATACCAGTTAAATCTCCTACCGCTATATAAAATGAACCAGTGGCAAAGAATCTTAGAGTTATTAATAATTGCTCAATTGGAGCAATAGCATTGTTTCTATTTAAAAAAAAATTGTAAATTATTCATGTCAATATTATGAAATTTTTATTAGATACCTATTTGTTCTATGTTGCAGTCGACATTCAATATGAGTCAATAATTCCAATACTACCGGTTTACTCAATCTAAATCTTCTTCTAAATTCGTCGTCGCTCCATTTGTCAATATTATTTATTCGAGGTCTTATCATATTAGGTCGACGATAGATCACCTCAAATAATTCTTCGTCATCGGATTCGAATAAATCAAGAAAATCTTGATCCATTTGGAATCTAAAATAGGTTACCTATATCCTTCAAGAAAACATAGTATGTATTTGCATACCTACTTCTACTTACTTACTTTAATTTCTTTCTTCCTATTTAGTATAGGTACGGTTGGTAATTTCGAAAAAAATTTATAAAACGTCACCAGTCTACTGGAAATTTGACGCAATATATCTTGGGGTTATGTTGATAACTGCAGAAAATCTACCCAATAACTTTATCCAGAGCTTATCCTGCCGATAATACTTAAACGAAGTTCGAAATACCCGAAGTAACGCTAACTGTCGGTTTATCTGGGAGATATCTTATACTTGACTTTATCCCGAGATGGAAATACCGGCCTAAATATAGAAAGTACCGCAATCCATTGGGCCCGTGTGTTAGAGAGAGAACGCATGTTTTTTGCCCAAAAATTGCGGAAGTTACCAGATTTTAGTAACTTTAATGTTAGGGATTGTTCCACCTGTTTGGAGACATCTGTCAAGTAGGTATTTGAAATTTGAATTTTCTTTTACTAATAAATCAAATATATAACAAGTTGTTGTGTTTCAGGTTTTAAAAAAAGTAATGTTAAAAGTGTCTGAGTTGTCTATGCATCTTCTCTTGTATTATAGGAGAAGAAAAGTTGAAACCATATTCCTGAATTGGAAAGAAGTACAAAAAAATTAAAATTATTCGTCTCATTATATTATTAACGAACCTCGAGATCGTTTATAATTTTGTATTGCTGCCTGCCTGTGCGTCTGTCTGTCCGTCTGTCTGTCAGTGTGTACGATAACTTTGTGTAGAAACGTCCGATCGCTTTAAAAATTGATATACACATGTTCTTCAGGATATAACAAAGTTCACAATTGTTTTTCGGCTACGTAGACCAACGGGCCAAATAGTTACAGCCCAAAAACTGCGCAAACCTCCAAAAAGGGTTTCTAACTCTTGTTACAAAGAACATATGAATGTCCGGTTTTCTGTGTTAGTAAATATTCCTTAAACTTCAGGCAACTATGCAGATGCAAACAAATACTGCGCATGCGCATAACAACTTTTGTATTTGCGCAATCCTAATTTTTTATTTGTTAATATATTTAAATGAAATTCTGTATTTGGGCACCTCCAATAAAAGTGAAACTAATGCCAAATCAAAAAATTTGTTTTGCGCATGCGCAGTCGGATTTCTTTTATTTGTTAAGGTATTTAAATGAAATGTTGTATGCAGGCACCTCAAATAAAAGTAAAACTAATGCCATTTCAAAAAATGTGTGTTACAAGCTATCAGATCAGGTGGGACAGAATCAACCCCTTAGGGCAGTGGTGCTCAAACGGTCGATCGCGACCGACCGGCCGATCTCGAGTACTTTTTGAGTCGATCTCGAGACACATTTGCGATTTTCAGAGCAGATCTACACCTACCTTGACTTAAAGAAAATGGATTTTGCGGAAAATTAAATTCTGCCGTTTCCACTAATTAACTAATTCTATGTACAGTATTTTCATGAAATTCTGCAAATTGCGCCACGATACGCCCTACCTATGTAGACAACAATCCTGCTTCACACATACTTGCATCCTCTCAGAGTCGATCGATCGGAGTCTAACAACATTCAGGTAGATCCTGCCTTAGGGTGTATTGTAAAATGATGTATGTGTGAAGATCTCGAGGATTGTTTGGTATTCAGTTGTATCGGATTTTTGAAATATTAAGTTAGAGTGTAAATAAATATATTAATTGGGCGAAAGCCCGTTGAGGGCCCAGAACAAGAGAGGGACAATAAATAGACAATAAATAAATAATTTTTATTTATGCACTACATCTCCGAGAGGGGCAAAATCAAACTGATCTGGATGACAGTTTTTTGTTTGTTTAAAGGATGCCGCCTGAAAATTTGTTGTAGTGTCTAAAAAAAACCTGTAAATAGCCTATAATTTTGTGATCTGAATTTTTCGTCTTCAAAGCAAATCGCAAATGTGGTCAGCTAGCTTCTTCTTTAGCCAGCAAAATCATAGTTTTTTTGTTTAAAGGATGTCGCCTGAAAATTTGTTGTGGTGTCTAAAAAAAGCGTATAAATAGCCTATAATTTTGTGATCTGAATTTTTCGCCTTCGAAGCAAATCTCACAAGTGGTCAGCTAGCTTCGTCTTTAGCCAGCAGAGCCATAGTTTTTTTCTTTAAAGGATGCCGCCTTAAAATTTGTTCAAGTGTCCAAAAAGGGCCTATAATCAGCCTATAATTCTGATGTATTTCGTCCTTCATTTTTCTAAAATAGCTCTGCTGGCTTGTGGGACCTAGATATCGAGGACACTGGACAGTGATGAGACGCATTTTTAGCTTGCTGGAACTGGAACCTACAAAAACGATCACTCTTCATCTAGGGTCCCTATTTCTTCGACTGGACCAGTCGTAACAGTTACTTCTTACGTACTTGAAACTTTTCTGAAACCGAAATTGAATGAATGATGGCAGAACCATAACAATGGCAACATTAAGTTCCAACAAGATGGCGCTACAGCCCATTACTGACAAATGTTTCCCAGTCATCTCATTTTTTGGCGAGATGAAGTTGCGTGTCCCCCGACATTACTTGATTAAACCCCATGCGATTTTTTGTCTGGAGTTACCTGAAGGAAAACGTGTACAGTGTATACTTTACACGCATCGTTCCCGAACCATCGATGAACTAAGGACTGCAATTACTGAAGAAAGCAACGCAATTCCGCCGATTATTCTTCAGCAATTTAACTCGCTGACTAAATAACAGTCATCGTTTCATAAAATACCTGTGGTGAAAAAGAGTGTTACGGAATAAACTAACCGTGAATAAATTGCACGAATTGCTGGACAAAGTGCACCAACATTAACAATTGAGTTTCACCATAAATCGAAAACTTGGACATTCAAATAAGCAGCGCTTTCTAAAGATGGCAGCGTGTTGTATTGTTTTGAGTTACGCTTTGTTTTTAACTTGCGTTCTGTTTGAATGCGACCTTCGATGATCGGTACGAAATCGAAGTATTTGGTGGGTTTACTGAATCCCATATTGGCAAAACTACTACCTGAGCTTTATTCCCAAGAGATGAGTACTGGAGTAATACTGATACGGTTTAATGTTCAATGTTGACGCGGTCCTATCCCGAAAATTGCTCGTACATTAAGGTATAGAACGTTATCTTTATTTCTTGCATCTATTTCGGGTTTTCAGTGAATAACTGAACAGTATAAATACGTGTGCATTGTTATAAACGCTTTATTTGTTACTTGTTATAGTATTTTACAGTATTAGCCAGGTAAGTGAGTTTTTACTGGCGATAGGAGTTGACTAGCGAGCCGTTAGGCGAGCTTGTCATCTCCTAGAGCCAGTAAAAACTATTACCTGGCGTATAATGTACAATATTTTATTTGTTACTCATTTGTAAACAATAGTTAAACGTAAATAATTAGTTCTTTAAATTAACTTTGAAGAAAATGTCTAAAATATTCATGTTATTCCATGGTAACAGAGACTTCGCATTAATTCTGGCCAATGAAATTACTAGATTACTAACTTGTAAAATTTTTACAGGTCTGCTGTCAGTTTTACAGGTCTGCTGTCAGTAGTCAGTAGCGTTTAAACATGACGTTTACCCGTTTGCGTTTTGTCTTGTTAATCAACGTTTCTGCGCGATCGGTCATTTCTGACTATTTACCATGCGTGTTTCCATGACAGTACGTAGAATTTACCAGTTGATATGATTACGACGACGCCAAAATTACTTACCGATCTAAAAACAGAACAGCAAAAATACTTACTGACGCCTTTTTAAAAATCAACAGTCTTACATTACATTTAATCTTTAATTATTGTTAGGTACATTAAACGTACAATTTGTGCTGTTGTTTCCTATAGCAAGACGCTCATAAAGTCATAAAGGAAGTACAAAGCTAGTAAACTACATCAGACACATGCACATTTTATGAAATTATTAATTTTAATTTTGACAAATAAACTGGTTACCTAGTGATTGACACCATACCACTTCGATCATTTCGATTTATTCTGCTCATTAATTTCTTAGTGCTTATTTATATTGGTTGCATAATTTTAATTTCGATCGCGCAAAAAATGTTATAAGCATGTCGAACGTTAAGGGTTACCGTTCTCAGACAATAATTGGAGTCGTCGCTTCGCTCCTCCTCCAAACAATTGTCTTCGAACGGTAAAAATCCCTTACCGTTCTCCATACTTAATATACTATTACAACTGAGTAACAAATAACATTGTTTACTAAGCTAGATTTAATT